TGTTGTTGCTGCTGTTGTTATTGCTGCTGCTACTAGTTACTAGTACTTTTGTTGTTGCTGCTGTTGTTGTTGCTGCTGCTGTTGTCGTCGTCCTCGTCGTCGTCGCTGTTGATGTTGTTGTCGTTGTTAGCGCTGACGTTCTTGCGTTGTTCTTGTTGTTCTTGGTCCTTGGTGTTAAAGTTGTTGCTTTGTTGTTGTTGTTGCTGCTGCTGTTGTTTGCTGTTGCTCTTGTGGTGCTGGTTGTGGTTCTTGTTGTTGTTGTTGTTGTCCTTGTTGCTGCTGCTTTTGTCGGTGGTGGGTGCGCAGTCGTGGCATTGTTCCATCATGCTTCGCCAGACCATAATTAGCAACCGAAGTCAATCTGTCTTCTACTCGTCGTCTTCGACATGTCGCCTGCTGTCGTGATCAGACACCATTGTCGATTTCCGGCCTTCCTTCCGCAAGATGCGATATTGTCCAAGCATCTGGAGATCGCAAAGGCAGGTGCGGCTGCTGAGTGGGCAAGCTCTTCCGGCGGGCGAGGTGTGCAGTTGAAAGCGCGAGGGTTCAGCTGCCCCGACTTGCACAAAAGTGACGTCTCCGATGCTGTATAGCCTATAGCACAGCGGGGCGTGCAGCGAGCTCCATCTGGTACATTGCCCTGCGCAAACTCGAAACACGGGCCAGTCGGCGAAGACCACAAAACTCTCGGAGCTGGGCAGTCGCGGCAGTCAGTCAGAACAACCCACATATATAAAGCAAGTTGGCGCATGGTTCATGAGCTGCGCTGCCACCCGAGTTGGGCAGTGACATGCAGCGACGCCTCGGCATGTCTTGACTTGATCCTGACAGCTAGCGGCATTGTTGTCATTGATGCTGGCTGGCGGCATGCCCACTAGGAACCGCCACACATCATAACTGGCGATGGCTGGCGGAAGGCCATTTCCCACGACATGTGTCTCCCGTGGTTTAGAAACCGTCACTCGTAAACAGTCCCGGTGTGAAACACTTCTGCCATGATTGAGTTCCTCTGCGGAGCTTCGGCAAAAGGCAACTTAGTTAAGCTGCCGCATGCACTAGCCACCGGCTTTCAAACAAGGCTGCCTGGTGGTTGGTGGCGTTACAGTTCAGCCATATCATGATGAAGGGTCTGCGATTGCACCTTTGCACTGCACAGCACTGGCACTGACCCACCCCTGAAAAACAACCTCCTACAGGGCTACAGGCTAAAGGTCGGTTGCCCCATGGATCGACATGGCCATACCCAATACCAGACATGAAAATTTCTGCTGCGGTACAACTTGCAAAAGTATGGGCAATCTCGCCCAAGCCACAGGGAGCTGGCGTGGCCAGGAGCCTTTCTCCATGGCAATCTGAAGCTTGTTATACCCGTCTCCTGGGCACTGAATGTGGCAATAAACTTGGCTGGGTGCTTTCATCTTCTTGTAGCCTGCGATTCCTGGCTCTTAAACCTATGGCACTAACTGTCCTTTCTTGCATGGGTCCCCTTCTAGTTTCCCTCTCTCGCGCTCGTTCTCTATCTCCGCAGCCTTCCGACCGACACAGGATGCAGCCGGGAATCTCCAGACATCCATGTCGAAGATATTGACTTGGAGCCCACCTTCACTGTGGACTTCCGTCTGAAATGCACATCTCACATCTTTTTTGGCATGCCGGCTGGCGGCTATGCACAAACACCAGACAATTTGCTGCAGCATGGTTGGTCGGCCTACGATAGCTGCCGCTGCGAGCGCCAGCAAGCCTGCCGAAACAGCTCTGATACTTTCCCAGCAAAAATGACAAAGCTGGTGCTCATATACCCTTACATGCAGCATGATGCCTGCGATGAAAATCAGCAGCATGCAGTTCAACCCCAGCAAAGCCCAGGTGTCGCCTTCGCCTGTCCTGAATGCGGAAGGTGCTTACTGAATCAGCCTGCAACGCAGAATAAGATGGCGCAGCTGGTCTCCGCCACGGCACAGCTGCATCCATTCCTTTATGGCCATCTTCGACTCTGGCGATAGATTTGCCACTCCCTGCCGGAACTTGGCCTTGTGACGTTGTGGCAACTTTGCTCGTCTACACCAGTGACGGTGGTCAGCGGGGCCTCTTCTTCCGGCTTCAGTTTTCCTTGTCGAAGCCTCAAATCGAGCGGCCTGAGCTGCGAGATATTGCGAGATGCTGCGCGCACTGCGTCTTGCTGACGACAGGCCCGGCCTCTCCTCTGCCGCCTTCGGTCCCTCAGCAACCTAGAACGCTCAGAACGCATGTTCAGACCGATGTGTCCAAAAGGGCTCCTCCGCAGCTGACTTGTTCTGCTCCATGCCTCAATGTCAAGTGGCATGGCTGCAGGGCGCTTTTGCCATGCTGCGCTGAGTGAGTTACCAATACACCGTGTAATACACTGATACACCAAAATATTTCCGGCCTTCCATCGCTTGCACGGAAGGCTCTGTCTCCTCCTCGCCAAAGCAACAAGACATGCAGTGATGCAGGAAACTACACGAACGGGCTACCCGCAGCCTCTCGGGCTTCTTTGTCCCAGGAGGTCGGCTGTGATGAAGCACCACTCAGAACAAACACCTCGCGTTCAAGCCTCCACGCCGTTTTACAGATCGGACGAACAGCTGACACGCAAGCGAGGAGCCATTGCTGCCGCAACACCCACCTGACTGGATACAACCCTCATGCTTTCGTGTGCAAAGCCTCCCTTCGTGTTGCGTAGCACTTGAGACATTATCGAAATACCAAGGTGTAGCCAAGTTGCAACTCCGGCTACCTGGTCAGCTCTGCAAGCAGCTGAAACTTGTGGACCCAGGACTTCCCGAAATATGTCGTCCGTGTGTAATTAGACACTCAGAGATGCGTTCTATCTAGGCATCTCTAATGCAACGTCCACTTTCTGCCAGCGTGCGAGGGCCGGGAAGCCCTCGTCGGGCACACCAAACATGCCTGTGAGTCGAACATGAAAACTCGCGGCATGTCCTAACACGTGCAGTCCGCGCCTCTTGGCTGTCTCGGCAAATACGAGTGGTGCTGGGCCCAACGCTGGCCAATTGCGTGTGATCAAAGTCAATGCAGCTTGATAAAACTGTATGACTGTCTGGCACGGCCGGGCTCATGTAAAAACTGGAGGCACGTAGTATGACTTGATGACGTGCTTGGCAAGTGCTCTCTTCGTCTTCCCCCATTTTGGAGCCTTCGTCGGCGCTGCAAATGTGGCCGCTAGTAGCAGAAAGGAACATGAATTGGATGTCATCATGCGGCACATTGTGCGACCCCGCGGAAGGACCAGCAGCGAATAACGAGGCACGGTGGAAGCGGTATCGTTTGATGGTGATACGCATTTACCAGGAATGTTCAATTTTGCCATCCTCTTCTCGGTTGTGCTCGGATTGTTGTTTGAATCGAGTGGATAGGACTTCAACGCTCAGGAGGCCAAAGCGCGGGGAAATCAAAGCATAACAACGTGATATCTACCAGTTCTAAGAAGCCACCAGCTGCCACAACCGACAGGGCAACGGTTTTGATTTATTTTGGTTTAGGGTTTCGGCGCTTGCCGGTTCACTCGAGTTCTGTTGACCTCAAAACAGCACTCAAGACTGTTCAACCCCCAACCCCGTTGCCTCCTGAGAGCGAACAGCAGCAACAGCAAGCAAGAAGAGCTTGACTCACTCACCAACAACAGTACAACCTAAACGATAGAGAACTCGCTCTGTTGGAAGGCTCCAGATCTCTGTAAGCGTGTCCCAACCGTAATGGAGGGAAGGTTCGACTTGCATGAGACTAGGTGACTGTGCCAATCGGCCCCACCCGACGATCCACTACAGTTACAGTTAAGCATGTGGCCCACCTCTCCGCATCGCCCACGTGTTACGCGTGTCTGCTATCGTCTACTGCGGGCACCGAATTTCTCCCTTCCTGCAGCTGGTTGAGTAGGACCAGGTCTGGAGCGAAAATCAATGCAGCAGTGCAGGAAAGCATGTCTCCAAAAGTCTCCAAATCACTTAAATTTACTGGTACGTGGCGGCTATGAGGCTTTGGCGATCACGCCCCAGTCAGTCGTTGCATGGCAGTGAGACGTGAAGGTGGACTCATTTGGCACGAAGAGATGGCCCCAGTGTGCCAGTGATGCCTACAGCCGCAGATGTGAGAATGTAATTAAGGAAAGTCGCGTCCGTAAAATACACGTGAGAACTGCACTACCTCCGTCGCGCAACTTTCACCCTTGCCGGCGCAGCTACAATCAGGTAATTCGAAGGGCGTTGTCTAGGATGCAGTGCCATCCGCGGTCAAATCGAGGTCCGGCCGCTGGAGTGTCGAAGAGGTTACGCCCGTGTACCGCGAGGACCAGCCGGCGTCCGCACTCGCGCTGGACAGTCCTGAGGCCGACCTTCCGCATCCCAAACGGCAGCGTCCCTTCCAGCGGAAATGGGCGCTACTCAAAATTGCCGATCCGCAGTGATCCGCACGACGGGTCCAGCAGGTTGCGGAACCCAGTCAAAGGAGTAAATGCAGCGGCACGGGTCCAGCAGTCGCGCCGCCACTGCCTCCGCTATCTCCCGCGTTGGGGTCTGGCTCTTGGAACGACTGCGACTACGATTTCCGTCTTGGTCTCGTCAAGGTCACTGCACGGTCTAGCACAACATGGACATGCAAGATGCACATGGTGGCCGAGTGCCAGGCAATCGGCCTGGATTCCGCCACAGGGACAGTCGGCTGAGAGCTGGAGCTCAGCAGTCGGACGGTCACGGGCCAGACAGAGGGTACGAGCAGTGCAACCGCATGCTGTTTTCGACGTGTGCTCCATCCTGAGCCTACAGCCGTGTTGACTTCAGGGACAGAACCAGTCCAAAGAGCTTACCGTTCACAAAGCCGGGTCTCGGGTTGCACACAAAACTAGTTCGATGTAAGCCGAGGCGCTCAGTAGTAGCAGTAGTAGTAGTAGTAGCACTAGTAGTAGTAGTAGTAGTAGTAGTAGTAGTAGTAATAGTAATAGTAGTAGTAGTAGTAGTAGTAGTAGTAGTGGTGGTAGTAGTAGTAAAAAGTACTAGTACTAGAGGTAATTATAGTAGTAGTATAATCAGTAGCTAATAATGCAAACCAGTGGAGGTTCGGCGAGCCCCCGGCCAAGCGGATGCGGGGTTCCTGCCCGTGCGGGGTTCCCTGGTTTGGCCCTGACCAAATCCCGTAAGAACGGCGGGATTTCAAGACTACAACAAGAGAGGAGACGCATGGTGCGGCTCTGCCACGACTTTACCGACTTCGGAGGATGCGAACGCCGAGTCAGCACAGGACAGTCCCAGGAGCACGATCTGCACACGATTCATCAAGTTCGTAAGCGCCGAAGCATGTCGGAGTTACATGGGCTTGCAATGAATTCGGCATCTTTGGTGGACTGGAAAGCCGAAGGACTTTGGAGAGAACACGACCTGCAGTTGATCATGTGCACTGAGCCCTGTGCTCAGGCTAGCGGCGCCTGGCACCATCTCTAAAAAATCCACTTAAGCCTAATGTAGCAATGCCATCGTGTTGCTACACCCTGCGCAATGCGTTCCAGCTCTACCGTTGATAGACTGCAATCACTATAGTCAATACTGTAGTGACTTCTGTAATGTACTTGGGCCAAGCTGTGTTGCAAGCAGCAGCGGCTGGCTACGTATCAGCGAAAGGGGCTTCCACACGGCCACAGAGCAAAGTGAAGAGACAGCGAAACTTTTCTTGCACAAGGTGTGAAGGGTCGGAGGACGTATCCTTTCCGACCAACACTTGCTCTGATCCAAAGTTGCTGCCCACAGCCAGAGGTTCTTGCAGTGAACAGCACTTGGCAAACTCGCAATGGCGAAGCCTGCGTGTTTGCGGACATTAATTTCACAGCTCATGTGCCGTTTGCGCCTGCTGTGCCGGCAACTGCGTTCGTGCCAACATCAAGGAGTTTTGAAGTAATGGAGTGATCTTAGCTTATCAAACTTCACAATCGAGCTGTGCAAAACCGTTGAAAGCTTCACTTAGAAAGTGAATTCCTTAGCAGACACCACAAAAGGGTCTCCTTCTGTAGAGCCTTGCCCACGGCAGCTGACAGATACGGATCAAGCCCTTCACGTGCATGAGCTGCGCTGCATGATCGTCTCGATAACATCGTCACTCAGGGAACCGCCCTTTTCGTTGAGAACTTGCCTGTTGAGCTCACGATCCTTGAAGCCCATGTCTGCCAAGGTCTTCAGCATGTCATCCATGCTCTGCGGGATGCGCTCACCTGGGAAGCGCACTGCGTTCGGCAATTTCTGCGTTCGGGTGTCGTTGGCGAAGTATGCACCTGTGACATTGTTAATCGCATCAGTCACTCCACCGATGAAGACATCCCACTGCGTCTTTGCCAACACCGGCTCTTCAACACCGTTCAGAGCACAGCTCTGCAGATGCTTGTAGAAGGTGCTCCAGTCCATCCGTGCTCCTCGGTCTTTCTGGGCATCCCTTCCTGTGAGATCTCTGAAAACACTTGTCGCTGTTTCTAGGCCGTACTTGTTTCCCTGTGGAAAAGTGTTCATAAGATCCGAAGCTGAAAGCAAGTTGTCCCGGTCAGCATCTGCATCTTGGAAAATTTTGAAGATCTTGGGCTCGAACTCGGGCTGGCTCAAGTCAATGCAAGCCGCAACAAACTCGGTCCAATTGATTGCGTCCTTGTCTTGACTTAGGTTCATAGCTGCAGCTGCACGACTAGCCTCAGCCTCATCAACCCCATGCTTCATTAGCGTGGTCTTCAATCCATCTGTCGGCAGCGAACCATTGCCATGAACATCAAACTCATTGAACAATTGCTTGAAGGTGGGCATCTGGTTAGGCGGCCAATCTTGAGCAATTTTCATTGCTATGTTCTTGTACAAGACCGATCGACAATGAACCGAAGCCAGCCGCTTCATCAGCCTCTGCCGATTTGACTCGTTTAGACTGCCAGTCTGTTTCGGAGCAGAGGCATCTTTCAAGAATTTGCTCGCCAAGCACTGAGATGCGGAAGGGCGACGCTGCCGCTCCTGCAGCAGCATGCCTTCAAGTAATTCCTTGACATCCCGGGAAGTGCCAGACACATACTGCCATGCAGGCCGCGGTTTCTGCCGCCAGAACTTCACAACATCGTCAAAGTTGCCCTCGAACTTGACTCGAAAAGGCATCTCCCCACAAAGAAGCTCAAAAAACACACAACCGCAGCTGAACACATCAGCCTCGGGTGTGATTTCGCCTGACCAAACCTCTGGAGCCATTGTCATAGGCGTACCCATTGGACGATTGCCCCGATAGTCACCAGGCTTGAAGTGCATGGCAATCCCGAGGTCTATGACAACCACGTGGGGCTTGGAGTTGAAGGTTGCAGATTTGGCATCTTTGGCATCGCCCTTTCCGAAGAAGGCTGCTGTCTTTTGGCTGGGCATGAGCATGATGTTCTGCGACTTCACATCTAAGTGGATGATTCCCCGAACATGGATGTGGCAAATTGCCTGCATCAGCTGCTGCATGGCTTCAGCGATCCATGGCATGGGGATTTCCTGCCGAGTCTTTTTGGCCGATGAAATGTGGCCATGTAGCTCTCCTCCAGGGCAAAAGTCGGTCACCAGGTACACGTCGTCCTTTGTGCTGTACACCTCATAGAGCTTCAAGATGTGAGGGTGGTCAAGGTTCGTCAGGTTCTCGATTTCTTTCTTCATTGCCTGCATATCCCCATGGAGCTTCTCTTTGGAGATTTCCTTTATGGCCCTGACCTGTTTGGAATGCTTGTCGCTCGCCAGGTACACGAAACCGTAGGTGCCGTGGCCAAGTTCTTTGCCTTTGGCATACTTCTGCCACGGCTCTCCCTCCTTAAAGGAATCGATGGAGAATCGAGGAATCGCTTGAACTGAGATTTCCTGCTGCAACTGCAGCAGCTCCCAGAAGACTTTCTTGAACTCATCCAGGCCCAAGCCGGATTCGCTTCGGGCAGACTGCATCAAATGAACTTGGGAACCCACCAACCCCAGCAGTCCGTCCAAGTAGGCTCCAAGGTGCGGAACTTGCTCCGCAGGAATTGGGCGATCCTTGGCCCTTGCAGCACTGACAAAGATTTGCTCTGCAACTGGCTCCACTTGCTCCTGCTGCACAATGCCCTGTGCTGTTGCCACTTGTTGGGCATTGGGGATAGTCCTTGACCGAACTTTCCGGCGCTGGTCCGACCGACTGATGAAAGCGTTCGGCTTGACGTTGAGGCAAATGCCACCGGACTCATTGTCCACGTCGGTGATGATAGCTGGCATCCAGCACTGGTTGTGATCACTCCAATAGTCCAACTGCTGACCCTGCACGAGTTCCGATGGATCTATCGGTTTCCTGGCAGGTGGAGAAGGTGGAGCAGAAGCCTCTGGCCGGAACTGTGGCAGTTGGTATGCAAAAGCGGCATGCCCCGGAGAAGAACTGCGTTTGGGTGGCGCTGATGCCTGACCCTGAAGTCCGTATAATCTGCGCATGTCTGGCACCGGGGTAGCGGGGCGGCTGGGCCCCCCCTGAGGGTAGCCGGAAACAGGGGTGGGCATATGCAAATGCTGCATCGTTACAGCCCACAGTTGCCAACACGCCAGACTTTTGCAGAGGCTACGAAACGCTGCCCGGGCTACTTCAAATCGCTCGGACCCAATGCAGGGCGAAGCACAGGAAGCTGCAAAAGCGCACACTCTAGCTGCCAGCTCAGCACATGCCACGTGCAGACCGGTGATTGCTATCTTCGTGCGACATTTCCCACGCATTTTTGCCGAGTGCTTGCGGAGCCAGTTCTTGGTCACCAGCCTAGTTTGCAACATGCTCTGGCATCAATCTTCACACCATGCAAGGTTCTGCAGTGCTGACTGCGGAAGAGCCACTTGCGAAGCCAGGCCGGCTTCGGAGTGCGACGAACTAAAGCTGTGGCGGCCCTGGCCCTTGCCTTTGAGCGACGCCTTGGCAACTACAAAGCACTCTGAAATGCTCGCATCGGAACACGTTGGTTGACATTCAAAACTGTCATGCGAGACTTCGTTGTGAACCCTTTCTGCACTTTCGGCCAAGGCGCCGTCTTTCTTTGGTTGCGGAGAGCATGCTCCTGCGTTCCCTACGGGAATCTGCACGGAACTTCGCCTCAGCTCTGCATATGGGAACATGGTATGATGAATGCTCGGACAATGGAAACGCGGTGACGATGACACTCTGACACGCAGCGCACATCCAAACTGCTCGCCTGGGATTTTTCTGACAGCTGCTGCCAGCCATCCCGCCCGGATCCGCCACTGGCTAGAAATAGCGCATAGCCACCAAAGCGTAGTGCGGCCGCCTTGACGCATGTCAATTTGGTCACAACGCGTGGGCGTGACATGCAGGGCTGCGGCGGTTGCTGCTGCTGCTGCCACTGCCATTGTCACCCCATTGTCACTACTTACGACGACTGCTTCCACCAGTACTACGGCGACCTACCACTACCCCTAGCCCTACCCCTACCCCTACCACTACTACCACTACCACTACTACTACGACTACCACCACCATTATGACTACTCCTACTCCTACTCCTACTCCTACTCCTACTCCTACTCCTACTCCTACTGCTACTGCAACTCCGCGTGACAGATGCAAGGTGGCGTGAAGCCCGCTGACCTCCCTGTACGTGCTTTCCCAATGTCGCGAAG